GTCCTCTACCAGCTTCCACTCCAGGAAGTTCTCTGCCGCAGCAAGGTGTGAATTGTGACGTGGCATTCAGGTCTGCCCCTCCCCACATTCTTCACAATGGAGGGGGTCAATTCTACTCATACGGAATGAGTGAGAACATGGAAAGGGTGGCCTTCAAACGATCCCATAGAATGCCGTCTAAATGATTCACCCTCCAGTCCACAGACGCCTAGCCCAGGATCTGTCCCTCCGTTCCATGTTCAAAAGCAGGCCAGATGGGGAAAATACCTTGTTCAATACTTCTGTGTGAGCCTTTAAGAAACGTCACCATTTCCAGCCGCACGGGAGTCATACAGACACACACACAAACACCTCCGAGGAGCTCCCTCTGCAGCTTAACTCCCCCAAGCCCTCCGGCCCAAGGAGCCCCACCTCCCTCCCCAGCCGCTCGAGGCACACTTTCCGGGGTCCCCTCTGTCAGGAGGCAATGGGGACAGGCGCTTCCCCACCATGGGACTCCCTGCAGAGCGCCCCAACTTGCGTGTGCCTCCTTGTTGTGGAGTGCCAACGAAGAAGTGCCAATTCACCCAGGCTCTGAAGTTGGAACATTCTTTGTGCTGGGTTGCATCTTGCTGTTCGAATTAATTTCTCTGTTTTGCTGTATGAACTTAGAAACACAGAACCCAAGCAATTCAGAAGGGTCTCCCGGGCCATCTAGTCTGACCCCCGGCACCAGCTGGCTTCACTCATGACATGCCTGCCATGTGTGTGTCCAGCTTGTCCTTGAACACCCGCACCGATGGGGCCTCAATGACCTCCCGTGGAAGCCCATTCCACACCCTTGGGGTCCTGACTGTCAGGAAGTGCTTCCTGGCATCCAAATTGAACCTTGGCTCCCTGCGCTTAGCTCCACTGGCACACATCCTGCCTTCATCCCTGAATACTTTTGCAAGGCCAGTTCTTGGTCCTGGTTCTGCCCTGTGGAATGACATTTGCCAGGAAAAGGACAGGGAGCGTGTCTCTGCTGGTGCTCCCAGAGCTCTCAGCAGCTTGGGATGCCACTGACTGCAGTATCCGTCTGGATAGGCTGGCTGGGGTGGGAACTGGAATGGTTCTGCTCCTCCTTGGCCAGCTGATTCCAGATGGCATCACGGGGGGCAAGCACCTTGGTCCCACGGCAATTACGCCATGGAGAGCCGCAGCATTCCTACCTATCCCCCATACTGTTTAATATCTACAGGAAACTACGGGAGAGGTCAGCCAGAGGTTTGGGCTGAAGTGGATTCAGCTCTGCCTCTCATTTACACCTGATCCAGGTGGGGTGGTATCAGCTCTGCACTGGTGGTCTGGGCAGGGTGATGGACTGGGTGAGGGCTAGTAAATTGAAGCTTAGTCCAGATAAAACAGGGGCGCTATTGGTAGGTGGAGCCTTTGTCTGGGGGAGGATACACAGCCTGTCCAGGACAGGGCTGCACTCCCTGCAAAGGATAGAGCATAGACCCTGGGGGGCTCCTGGACCCAGCACTGTCCCTGGAACACCAGCGGCATCTGTGGCCAGGTGCACCTTTTATCAGCTGCGACTGGTATATCAGCTGCGCCCCTACCCAGACGGCCAGAACCCAGCAATGGGAATCCTCACGTTTAGGCTACCATAATACTTTTCATGGGGCTGCCCTTGAAAACGGTCTGGAAACTTCCGTTGGTACAGAATAGAGCAACCCATCTGTGAGCTGGGACAGGCCGGCACGAATTCATAAGCCCTGTCCTTTATTAGCCACACTGGTTACCAAGTGAAGTCCACGCCCGCTTACACCTACCAGGGCCCTGAGATCATCTGCGGAAGTCCTTCTCCACAAGCCACCCTTAAAAGAAGCCGGGAAGGTGGAGAGGAGGGGAAGGGCCTTCTCGGCTGCGGGATCAACTCTTTGCCCGGTGCCAACACTTTATACATTTCAGCGCCAGGTCAAATCCTTTTACTCCCCCTGTTATTCTAACTGTTGAATAAGATGGTTATGATTTTATACTGGTTTTTATTCAGGGGATGATTGGTTGCTGTGGCTTAGTTGGTGATTGTGTTGTACATTATTATATTTACCTGTGCAACTGTTGTTTATTTTTCTGATTTTATGGTAATTGTGGCTATGTTAATGTTGTTATGTTTTATGCTGTTTTAAATCATCGCACACATGAGAACATCTGCTGTAGAACAGTCTACAAAAACTTTAAATAAACGAACTAATATCGCACCATGCCGCCAGTCCAGCAGGCTCTGCACATGGCCACAAACCAGCTGCCCACCGCCCCTCAAGCTGCTCCCTCCAGCCCAGGCTCCCAACCACTGGTGCATGCGCCCCGCCACCTCCCCAAACACTCAGCGGAAGTCACCCTTCCCTTCCCTGAAGATTAATTAGGGGCCATTCGAACAATCCGTGTGGTGAACTGGCTAAGGGGGCTGGGCGGGGCTGGGCCTCCGAAAACCTGGATCCTGGTCCCCACTTGGGACCAGTTACTGCCTCTCAGTCTAACCAACTCCCAGGGCTGTTGTGAAGATAAAACGGAAGAGAACCTTGAAAGCCACCTTTGCTTTTTGCCAGAAGAGGAAAGAGGGAGTGCAAATTGACTGTAATGGCAGCTGCAGAGGTTCTCAGCCTCCTGGCCCAGGATATGCTTTCTCCCAGCCACGCACGCTCTTCTCAATGGCCAACTTGATGCACCGGCTCTTCCGCCCTGGAGGCTTCCCCTGAGTTCTTCCCTACAAATCAGGAGTCCTAGACACCAGCCTTCTCCAAGCTGGAGCTGGAGCCCTCCAGGCATGCTGCGCTACAGCTCCCAGCATCCCCATCTGGCACAGTGCATGCTGGGTGGCGTGTAGAATTGCTGTGGTCCCAGCCCTCTGGGCAACACCATGGGACACACTGCTATGGGGAGGCATCCCTAACCTGAGCAAACACAACCAGGCAGTGGATGGATCCTGAGAAACAGGTTCTCCAGGCACCCACGGTCACACCTCTGAGACTGCGATCCAGCACGGGCCCAGCTGTGCAGCAGACGTCTACATTTCCTGCTGCTTCTGGGCTAAGCCAAAGGGTGGGGCAACCGTGCGGCGGCTGGACATGCCGGCACTCAGCACCGTCCGAGGGCCTCTGGCCGCGGGGCCGCGAGGAGCCCTGCGCAGCGCCTGAAGCGCACTGCGGGGGGAGACAGAGCAGCTCCGGCCAGGCGGCCTGGCCAGAGGCAGCTCCCTCTGATTTATAGCCAGCTGACCTTGGGGCTGGAGCAGCTCTCAGGCTGCAAGAAATTAAAATGTCAATGCTTTGCTTTCAATCCTGACCTTGTAGGAGGAACATCAACAAAAATGGTTTCGCTGGACAGCTTGTACCAATTCTCCCATCCCTTTTCACTGCCCTGTCTTGAATCCAACATGATCCCATTTCTCTCAGATAAACCTAAAATACTCAGTTTTCCAGTGCTGGGCTCATTTTCACTTTGTATCATCTTTCCTCTCATTGATTTTTGACCAGCAGAATGTACATGACACAAAACCAAGATCCTTGATTAAATTGAAAAGAAAAAATAAATAGTTTCTCCAGTACTCTGCATGCCACAATCTCATTACACATGGAAAAGACGCCAACATTTACGGTAATGGCAATAAAACGAGGTAGGGATTATGGGATGAAGAAATACACACGTAACCCTGCACAAGCAGTTTTCTAATTCACTTCATTTTCATCTCCTGATTCTCACTGGAGCCCCCACTCTCTCTCAAAATTGGGCCACACCACGATTTTATTCTTGCTAGACCATCCCGCACCGGCACCTCCCCCAAGTGGCATCTGCATGACAACAGCCAATTCTAGAAATAACAGCACAGGTCCCCAGCCAACACGCACAACCACGTCCAGCAGATTTCAGTGGGCGCTCTCCAGTAAGAGAGCCCATTCGGATCCAAATCTATTGCCAGGCCGTCTCCCACAACCCAAGTGCTTCCTGTCCAGGGAGACCAGTATTTCTGAAACCAACATTAGCAGAACAGGGTGGCAGCAGCCTCATTCCTTCTCGTCCAAGGACATTCAGAAGAAGGGCTAGCAGGGACCCCGAGGGCAACTGGGGAAACCAGTGTGAGGCCCAACCAATCCTCTGGCAGGTCAGGTGGGGGCTTGACCTCCCTCAGGGGCAGAGCCTGAAGAAAACAGCAAGTGCTTACTAGTCAAGCAGACAGACTCCTCCCTGCCAAGCTACCAGTCCTGTGAGACTGCACTCCTCCATCCTCAGAGGTCCTAGAAGGAAGCCAAATCTTGAAAAGCTGATTCAGACCCTGAAGCCTGGCAGCCTATTTACTAAACGCGTGACCTCGCAGCGAGTGCCACTGGGTGAGAAGCCTGAGAACGGCCATTTCCCCGGATCCCAATCATGCATGCGTCCTGCTTTGTGGCAGCTGCTCACCTAGATCTGAACCAGGGAAGTATTCACACTTTCCGAGCATGTTCGTTTCACCCTGTAACAACTCTCAAATGTGCACAGCAAGAATGCATCCAAGATGCAAAGCAAGAATGCATCAAATAGAACCAGTCCACAATCTCAGCAGAGCTCCTCAGGCTAAATGGGGGTAGAGGAAATACTGCCCACTGTCCCCCCTTTCTCTGTATAAAGACTTGGAGGCACCAACAGGACTGCTAACTTGCTGTCCCTGCTAGGAAGGCTTTTTCTGGCAAGGAGTGAAGCAGAAAGGGCTGCGGTTGGAAGACAAGACAGAAGGAGCAGCTCCAGTCACAGACCCAAATGATGACAAAGTGAAGATCTGAACTGCCTTCAGCTAGAATAATGAGGTTCCAGTGGGCATTTGATTTCTTGAACAATTCTTAAGGTAAGCATAGCAAGAGTGTTTGTCACCAGTGGGACCCTTCCCAGAGAAGACCTTCCCTTGTCTCAGGACACGGAGGTGCAAGATTTTCCACCCCAGAGGGTTCAGGCCAGCAAACCACGTCCCCTTTGCAGAAAGAAGATGGGGTAACACTCACCTTCTGGCCCTGTCACTGCATCCTCAGTTGCCTTTGCGAAGCAAGTTGTAGCCAGCACCTGTCAGTCAATCTAGAGGGAGGGAGGAGAAAAGAAGTCAGTTGCATTTTAATCCATCAAGAAGCCCAGACTTGAAAAATCTTAAGCAGCAGTTCTGTGAGGTCGGCACTGGTGAGAAAGGGTCTCTGCTCTGGGTTGTCCTGGACTTCAGGTCTTGAACAGGGACTGCCAGCAAGAGCTGGAAGACTGCCAGCATCATTCATATGTTTATCTCATTGCTATCCCACTGCTTTGCCTAAATAAAGTTGCAATAAAAGCAACGTGCTACCGGATCAGTCCAAAAATAGACAAATATTTAAGACTGAGAAAACCTAAACAGAAAACCTGCTTTAAAGCACGCTGAACACTCTTAAATGACTGAGGAAATAGACGGGTTCTCTGCTCGCACCCACAACCTGAACCCTCCATTCCATTCTTAACTGGGCCAGGCCGCAAGCCCTCACGTGTCCCGGCTGAGCTCCAGGCCGCAGGACGGAAGATGGCGCCTTCATCCCCACCCCTTCACTGGCACTGGGCCTTCAGCAGAGGCACATCAGTGGAGAGGGCCCCCGCCCCGTCCCACGCAGCATGGCCGGGCAGCCAACAAAAGGGCCCTTTCAAAACCCCAGTACACTTGCGGGCCTTCTGGGTGGCCAGAGACTCCCTTGTGCTCTGCCCGTTATTCTTCCCACCTTCCTGCTGCCACGCAGTGGAATGGAGTGCACAGCGAGCACACAGCAGGAGCCACAGAAAATCCCGTCACCACCGGATCGGCCCACATCAGACCTTCACAGGGACGGGCCACATCCCCGCGGACAACCGGAGAAGCTTCGGAAGCACCTGAGTAATCTACTTAGCTCTAATTGATAAGGGGTGGGGAGGGGGAACTGCCAGCCCTAATCTGGCTCCTGAAGCAGAAGGCGACAGCACATTAACCCCACACGGCCTTTTGTGTAGCTGCAGACAGGGAGACCAAAGCCAGCTTTCAAGGGAATGTCTACGCGGCTGAAGGGCCTGCCCTCCGCCGCAGGCCACGCAGTGAGGAGGGCCGGTGCAGCACAGCGCTGCAGCCTCACGGCCCCTGCCCGCGTTGCGTCCCCCCAGCCTGGTGCATTCAGGCCAGCCAAGGTCATGCGCACCCGCTGTTCCCTTCCCTGGAGGCAGGGCAGTGATCACAGCGGTGCTGCGGAGTCCAAGCGAAGCACCGCTGCCCTCAGCAGCCAGTGGAAACTGCAGGCTGTGCCCCCCCAGCACCCCCCTCCACCCCCCCCCCGGCCCCTCCAGAGCTTTGGTCTGAGCGGGTGCTCCAAAAGGAAACACCCGTCATTTCCCTGACTGTCTCTGGCTCTCGCCCATGCATTACCTTGCTGCAGCCCCTCTCCTCTGATGAGCTCCTGGCTCCGAGCCCCATTTTGCGCAACCCCGTGAGAGACAGACTTGCGCTCAGACCACCTCCTGTGCTCCACAGCTGCCAGGATTGCACCCAGCTCTTCCCCGCCTCACCCAGCACATCACCCGCCACACCAGGCCCTGACTGCCCAGTGGACCTTTCCCTGAAGCTGCATTGCAAAGGCAGCCGGCTGCACTGCCGTGGGGGGAGCGGGGGCGGGAGAAAGGGGCAGCACACACCCTTCTCCCGTCCTCTGGATCCCAGATGGAGCTTGGAAAGTGCTCTCTCCCCTTACAGAAGGGACACTTCTTCCCGGAGGACACATCTTTCAGGGATCCCTTTCTGCCTCCTCCATTTCTGAACCACATTAGCCAAAACTGTCCAAGTGGTTCCCAAAATAGATCCCGGAGGCCCTTGGGGGCCCCAGTTCACACTTCTCCTCTACCGGGAGAACTCTGTGCCTCCTGTTAGTTAAGCAGCTGCTAGTCTGAGGGGGGACATGGTATCCCTCTGTAAGCACCTCAAAGGCTGCCACAAAGAGGAGGGTCAAGGTCTCCTCTTGCTGATGCCAGAGTGCAGGACACGGAATAATCAAGTCACGTTGCAACAAACCAGATTCAGGCTGGACATCAGGGAAAGCTTCCTCACGGTCAGAGAAATACGGCAGTGGAACCAGCTGCCCGGAGAGGTGGGGGGCTCTCCCACACTGGAGGCATTCAAGAAGAAACTGGGCAGCCCTCTGAGTGGGGTGGTGTGACTTGGTGTCCTGCACCAGCAGGGGGTTGGACCCGATGGCCTTCCTGGCCCCTTCCAGCTCTACTATTCTATGAGTCAAGAGAGGGTCTCCCCCTTGTTTTGCCAGCACTCAGTTTGCACAGTCAACACTTTCTGGATTACAGCGGCCTGGGTCTGCCGCTGTAATCACTCACATTCAAGGAGCTCTAGCAGGCTGAAAAGCCTTGACGGAACCCGTGCTCCTCCCTGGCTTCCACCTCCGTATTCTAGCAGGCAAACAGACCCATTCCCTGTGGGTGCATATTTACTCCCTGTTGGCTCCTCGTAGTCTTTTAATCTTATTACTTACGCTCACACCCTGCCTGCTGTCCTGCGTTCAGGGTGACCCGCAAGGCATGGTGCCCACCCCCACACCCCCACTTGCCCTCACAAGCACCCTGCACGGCGCACCGCACACCCAGGGCTAGCAGGGGTTCCAGCCAGGACGAGCGGCCTTCCACACTGCTTCCCACCCTCCGCTGGGCCTTCCTGGAGAGGGGCCGGCCCTCTTTCCTGGCACAGGCAAACTCCCGCCCTGGTTCTGGCGAGGCGGGTACTCCTTGCTGCAAATGTTGCCCATGAGAGCGCTGGCAGCGTGATCATGCTTCAGAGTCCAGCCTCCTCGTGAGGAGAGGAGTCAGAACTTCTCCCTAGGAGCAGGGAGCAGACACGGCTTTGCCACAGGGGACGCTGAAGTTACGCAGTGCGCCGGTCGCCATTCCACACCCCCTCCAACTGCCAAACAGTTGATGGCATCCTGCACTGGCACCATGTCCGCCTCTTTCCGCAAAGATGCTCCCCCCCTCACATAAAGCAAAGCCCTTCCTGCCTCTCAGATCAATCAGATTTTGCAGAGAAAATCAAAACAGAGCTCAGCATTCACCACCGTGTGACAGTGCAGAAAGGTTCAAGCCAGTGATCCATGGGCACCCACTCGGGATATCACGAGCAGCTCCTAAGCTTTTCCTTGCGAGGTCTGTTGGAGGATGCGGCATCCAGTCAGCCGCAGCATGGAGGACATGGCAGCTGGTGCAGCGCGAGATGCGGCTGCCCCGTGACCATGCGCACAGCACCCTGTGTGGCAAGTGCGTCCAGGCTCAGCCCAGCCTAGCAATCCAGAGCACAGTGAAGGGCTGTGACTGTTAGAACCACGGGTTTCGGTCTCACTGATCAACTTCCTTCTTGTGCAGGGAGACACAGAAGTGAAACCAACAGATGGATAGATGCTGGAAGGGCACGGGGTGAACATGGTGCTTGCACACATGTGCGTGGGGGGCACAAGTGGCAACAACCCCATGGCGGAGGGAAAGGCAGGACGGCAATCCCTCGCCTGAACCATCCTCTCAAGATGCACATGCCCGCCCAATCCTCTGCACAGCTCAAGCCACTGCTGGCATGGACAGGAGGAGGAGGAGGGCCAAGAGCTCGGCAGGAAATCCTGCAGCAGCCCATGCACAAGTCACAGTGGTTCAAAAGCAGTGCTTTTCAAGCCAACAAGACCCATTTCTCAGAAGAGGATCTGGGCTGACCAGACCAGCTGGTCTGCCTCCATCCATCATCTTTCCAGCGAATACCTGCAGTGGGCCCACAAGCAAGGCAGGGAAGTGCTCATTCCACCGCCTGCCCCTTAGCAACAAGGATTTGGGGCCAGATGCTCTCCGACTCCGCTCAGAGGCCTCTCCTGCTACACAACCAGGTAAGAAGAGGATGAGCCCCGAGGCTAACTGGGCACAGGCCCTTCTGGCCCAGCCTTCCTCAGTGGCCAGCCAGGGGCCCATGGGCAGCCACACAATGGGCGCGAGTCCCACCCAGGCTCCCAGACCACCATCCGCAAGCACAGAGTACCGATTACCACCTGCAAGCCCCAGAGATCAATTTTGCATTGCAAGGAGTTATGCTCTGCTATCAGGCCTGAAGACAGTAAATTCGCCACTCAGTTGCGATGTATCTGGTAGTGAAAGGGAAGGCCAATGCTGTAAAGAACAATACAGCATAGGAACCTGGAATGTAAGATCTATGAATTAAGGCAAGCTGGATGTGGTCAAGCAAGAGATGACAAGACTGAACATCAACATCTTAGGAATCAGTGAACTAAAATGGACAGGAATGGGTGAATTTAATTCAGGTGACCATCAGGTATGCTACTACGGGCAAGAATCCCTCAGAAGAAATGGAGTAGCCATCATAGTCAATAAAAGAGTAGGAAAAGCAGTACCGGGATACCATCTCAAAAATGACAGAAGGATCTCAGTTAGAATCCAAGGCAAACCATTCAACATCACAGCAGTCCAAGTCTATGCCCCAACCACTGGTGCTGAAGAGGCTGAAGTTCACCGGTTCTATGAAGGCTACAACACCTTCTAGAATTAACACCAAAAAATGATGTCCATGATGTCCATGGGGGATTGGAATGCTAAAGCAGGAAGCCAAAAGATAACTGGAATAACAGGCAAGTTTGGCCTTGGAGTACAAAATGAAGCAGGGCACAGGCTGGCAGAATGTTCTCAAGAGAACACAATGGTCATAGCACACTTTTCTAACAACCCAAGAGATGACTCTACACATGGACATCACCAGACGGTCAACACAGAAATCAGATTGGACTATGCGCTCTGCAGCCAAAGATGGAGGAGCTCTATAGAGTCAGTAAAACCAGGACCAGGAGCTGACTGTGGCTCAGATCATGAGCTTCTTGTTGCAAAATTTAGGCTTAAATTGAAGAAAGTAAGGAAAAGCACTAGGTCACTCAGGTATGACCTAAATCATATCCTTGATGAATATACAGTAGAGGTGACAAATAGATTTAAGGAATTAGATCTGATAGACAGAGTGCCTGAAGAACTATGGATGGAGGTTCGCAACATTGTAC